CGCCAATACGCCAATACGCAACCGCCAATAATAACCGCAACCGCCAATACGTTGTTCCTCATATTAGAATTTGGATTTGTAGTAGATGTGAACAGCTCTTCATATTGAGCGGTTGCGGGTTTTGTTTCTATGAATTACAAGAACCATCGTGTGAGTGAGAAGCAGATTGAGTTTTACAGGTTTGTTTGCTTTCAAGCACCTTTGAGCTGTCCTGGATAAAGATGTGATATGAGTTTGAATTGTTGCATACACTGCGTATATTGTACTGTGATAGCATACGTTACTGGTCAGCACGCGGATAGATTGATAGTGCGTGGTATTAGCATGTGGTATTGTGATAGGTATTAGTGGAGATCCGGTACGTTTAGTGTGGTGTACTTGATGTTCTAGGATTGTTGTGCCTGAGAATAGGTTGTTAATGATTCCATTCCAGAGTGGCATGCATTCCAATCTTTTGCTTCCATAATTGTATGGCGTTGTATGTGCAGCATTTTAATGTATATGTGTTGGTGTTGAATAGCTTTTGACGTAGATGGCTCCATGGATTTGTATTGTGACGTGTTGCAATACGTGTGAATAGATTGTTTTTTGGATGAGTGTTGTTACAATGGGCACTTTGTTCATCAAGTAAACATGGCAGTTTAGACAATGACATGATGAAGAAGGAAGATTTACAAAGTACGGTGGGGATTTGTCCATCATTGTAAACATGGTGTTTTGGACCGTAGGATAAAAAGGATTTAGGTAATACCGCTCGCTATACATTATACAAATGTAATCAATACAGCAAGTAAACTTATTCAATCGGAATATTGGAAGGGAAACTTGCTTACATTTTTTCTGATAATTGTTGTCGCAAATTCCAATTTCGCGAAAGACCAAAGTATATAAAATTATGTATCCATGCAATCATCACTCATGTCTTAGATCTTTGTTTTAAATCACATCTGTTGAAATATTTGGGACAAAACCACTCCCACTTTTTCCGTATATAAGCTGTATTGAGTGTTGTCCAGGGAGCTTTTTATGACCAGTTTTTCATTACGCTCAAACAGTCTGGTTGATTCCTTTTTTTCCTTTCATCATTATCAGCAGTATCGTATCGTTTTTGTGACCCTTACCCTTTACAAGTAAAGAATTTAACTCTCTCTCTTTGTCTACAACGTTACGACACACACACACACACACACACACACACATACACACACACATGCACACACACACACACACATGCACACACACACACA